CCAAAAACATGCATGTTAGGCTGATTGGTAACTCTAAATTGTCCCTAGGTGTGAGTGAGAGAGTGAATGGTTGTTTGTCTCATTTGTCTCTATGTGGCCCTGTGATGGACTTGCGACCCGTCCAGGGTGTACCCCGCCCCTCGCACAGTGATTGCTGGACATGGGCACCAGTGACCCCCGTGACCCAAAATGGAATAAACGGGTAAAGATAATGGATGGATGGATGGATATTCATTAGAGCATATGTGTCAAACTCAAGGCCCGGGGGCCAAATGTGGCCCTCGTTTACATATTATCTGGCCCCCAAGATGTCATTTTATATGTAAAATACTTATATCACTTTATTTTTTTCAGTAATTTTTGATTATGATGTTGAAAGCACAACATAACATCAAATGAGACCAATCTTGTTGAGGAACCTGCAACCAAGAAAAGATGTTGTGTATCTAACTTGAGTTAATGTAGTTTCTGAAACCGGCCCTTAGTTTAAAAAAGCTTTTAATTTTGGCCCCCTTTTGTAAGTGAGCTCGACACCCCTGCATTAGAGGCATGACAACCTGGAATACTCACATTAAAAATCCTAAATCCTGAGGACTCTGTTTATTTATGGCCGCACTTGAAGCCAGTTTACCCTGGATTTATGTTCTTGCAGATTTTCTTCAGTCCACCGCTGAGGCTGACTCATGCAGTTTGCACGTGTGCCTCTGCAGTTGAGATTACAGCTGGTTTTATTGTGTGTATTCAACTCTTATCCCATGCAGTGGTTGCATTAAAAGGAATGATTGAACTTGCAGAATAAATATTGAAGCTACTGTTTTCTTGAAACGTTCAGAACAAATTTTTAGAAACATTGTTTAGAATATTTAATCATTGCTCCATCGGGGATTGATTTACTTAAACAATCCTGTTTTTTTTATTTATCCTGTTTAAGTACTCGTTTTCCAAGTTAATCTGCACATTTTTGCATACGTATTGTGTGATTTATCTAGCGTGTATTAACAAGCCTAAAAACATCTTAACAGCTAAGAGAGATTGTATTTTGCCTTTAACAAAGTTTTGCCAATTTATAGTTTTAACTAAACCAAATTTCAAATCCCATGTCTCCACAATTTTGCGCATTTGCTATTAAAACTTTGTAAAAGTGACATTGCTTTAATATGTTTTGTAAATGTGGCTTTCTTTAACATCTTATAATGAGGCCTCACATTCCTTAAAGAAATGCATGTCGCCTTCCAACCTTCATGTCAGAGTTTGAAACTAAGCTCATTTTATGATGAGAAGGAAGTTATGTCTGTTTTAGTCAAACCTTAAAAATTAATTTTATGCACAATCACGTGCAGTACGGTGAGATATGAAGTATGTGTTGATGATGACTGGGAGCTACTACTTTGACAAATTTAGATCAGTGTCTGTAAACTTTAAAGAAATTTGGTGTTTTTGCTAAGGTTTATTAGCTGTGGCAGCCATCTTGAACTGGGCTGACTCCAATATTTAATGAGTTGTAATGAACTACGTCCAGTTCATCGCCAAGTCACAACAACAGATCTTGGTCGGTACATTTTGGTGAAAATGCTCAGCTACACCAACACAAAATTAGAGCTCTGCTTTTGTAAAACTAGTTGAGTTGTAGGCATTTTTGCGTTTGCTGAGGTGGCTTAGCTAGGGCGGCCATTTTAACCGCATTTTACTCTTAAATGTATTCAATTGTAGACGTTCATTGAATGGTTTCTTTCTGAAAGTTTCAATAAAACCCATGAGATATTTTGCTAACACTAAAGAAAATAATCCAAGCACAATCAAAAGCATTACCCATGTGTCGTCGATGACGGGAGATAACTGAAACTTCAAATGTGGAGTCAGTCGTTGAGCAAAAACATTTGCTTGAGTTAAACGAGTTGGGGTTAAGAGTAAAGTTAAAGGCTAACAGTATTCAGTCACCATGATTGAAAATGACTCTTATTGATGCCATTTGCTGAGAAGTAATCCAAACACTGAGTAACAGAGCATTTAAGCAGCTCTGGACTTCATTTGCTTGGAGGAAAAACAAAACGTACAAAGTCGTTTCACGTCTGAGGGGGTTATGCATTTCGGTTTACTCAAGTGCAAATGTTTTTGTTATAATCCTTTCCCCCGGGAGACGTCGAGACAAAAGAAAGAAAGCCAGAATGAGATATTGATCTGCCCTCAGATTTTTGCCAGAGCTCTCATTGTGTTACTGTCAGTGGAAAATCGGAGGCTTCGGAGACGCTCTGGCCAAAGAGCAAAGAAAGACTTGGGCTGAAACAGATGGAAAGTCTTAAACTTATCTGAGTCACTGCTTGAAATGGGAGCGGAGGTTTATGATATATGGTTGATATGTGCTGATAATGAAGATGAGCGGAGGTTCTTTGCGGTCTTGTTTGACATGTGTAAGTTGTGTAACAGAACAGTTGAGGGTTCGGGGTAAGGCTCATTGGTCATGCTGCATAGTTCTCTGAATCTAATTAGGAGCCAGAGGGGCCCAAATGGCTGGTTTTATGTGGTTTCTGTGCTGGCTGGCCTGCTGTTGGGTGTGGTGTGGCCTGCAGCGAGGTGAAGCCATAAACACATTTCTTTGTGATATTTCTGTCTCGTCTCAGGACTTCTAACCGTTTCCTGCCGCTGACTGACAACCTGAGCGATCAAACCCGGTCACATTTGTGTATCAGTTTGTGTTTCCCCACCTTCCGTCAACCTGAACAGACTTATTGCTCAATCTGACCTAAATCTTGCTGTAAACAGTGTTCTAAAATATTCACATGGCCTTTTATCTTATTCCAAAAGATTTACAGTATTGTGCAAAGGTTTTAAACCACAAATAATTTCTGTAAGTTTTGCCTTAAGGAGCCAGACTTTCATGTACCGTACTTGCCGCCGTACATGTCGCATCAGTCCAAATATGTGTAATGAAGTGGAAAAAAAAGCATAAATGTGTCGCTTTGCCGTATAAGTTGCATCTATTATGCGTCACCGCTGACCACCCAGAAACGTGGGCTGGTGTTGTGCCAAAAATTGATTGGCTGCTAAATGGTGGCTTCGGGAGCATGCACGGGAGAACTTTAACAAGATTAACACTTCAAAAACAATTATTTGTTTGCTCAAAATTATAGCAAAGGTGTGTCTCAGTTGAACTTTTCCTTAATAAATGCACTTTAATGGTCAAATCAGCTGCATTTCGCCTGGGCAGCACGGCGAAATGCAGCTGATTTGATGTTTGCTCCAGGAGTTCCGGAGTGAGACAAAGGTGGCCGATATGGCAAGCCAAGTGTCTCATTAATAGACACTTTTATTTATTAATGAGACACTTGGCTTGCCATATTAGTCGAGGGCCCGCTAGCAACTGAAAATGGTAGTGCTCAATATTTTCCATGTCAGAATGAATGAAATTGTCAAATCTCAGCCAAAAATTTGGTTATAAATATGTGTGTGTGTGTGTGTGTGTATGTGTGGGGGGGGGGGGGGGGGGGAGATGTATATTGGTTGCTTCAGTGTATAAGTCGCAGGACTTAAAAATTTATGCAAAAAGGTATGACTTATACAGCGAAAAATACGGTAATATTAAAGTGGTTTGGTCACTAGTTTGTTTTTGGTAGATATTCTGAACGTACTTTAAAGTTTTTCTTTAGACTTCTGCTACAACTGCTTTTTTACTCTTTTGAGTGCAGTCCTTGTATCTGACCAATACAATGTGTCATACAGTGAGCTTTTAAAAAAAGAGGAAGAACGAACACTTCAGGTCTACAAAAACTCTACAGCAGATCAACAGTGTTTGAAAGTAATGATTTTAGGAAATAGGGGAAAATCCAGCAGAAAACCTGAGATGCATCATGATCATCAGCTAATAACTCTTTGAGAATCACCTCATTCTAAAGTTCTATTTGATGTATAGAACTAGGGATGCATGATATTGGATTTTTGGCCGATAATCAATACGCCGATATTTTCTTCCTAGACCTACCTACAGAGACTACATAGCTTTCTCTGCAGTAAATGTACTACATTATTCTGCATGGTCTTTGTCAGTTTGGCTTGCTACCAAATGCAGATGCTGAAAAGTGGGCTTAAAATGATGAAACACTTCAATTTGGATTATGTTTAATGTCAAATTTATTCATGACATTTAATCTCTCTAACACAATGACAACACTCGAACAGTGCAAATTTGTAAACGTTCACAAATCTAAACTCAACCTGTTCACAAGTGAAAAGCGCATAAGTACCGGTAGTAGTGCAGATATACTAGACAGTTTCTTAAATAAAAAAAAAAACTTAAAACAGAAGCCTTTTATATCTGTGAGTTATTTTTGATGAATGGCCGATGCCTGATGTTTAATTTTATCGCCAATATTGGCCGATGCGATATCGTGCATCCCTATACAGAACTGTCATTTTTAGTATTTTTTAGTGATTCAACTAAAGAAGTTGAAGCAAACTGTGCCTCTGTGACAAGCTGCTGGCAACAGTGTCTAAAGATCCAGTTTAAAGTAGGGTATTTGATCAATTTTTACATGTCGACACAAAACTGGTTCATCAAGTTTAGGAGCCTTTTTATGCCTAATGAGCCACAGGTCAGAGTTAAGTGGTTTACCAAACAAACAAACAAAATTATTTCAAAATGATCTGGTACTGGATAGAAAATTGGCAAAAAAAAAAAAAAAACATCAGGCATAATAAAAAAAAATATAAACAACTTTGGAAAACCTCCAAAAGACCTGAAGAACTATGGATCAAAAGTACTTGGAAATATTGCCAGGAAGTCTGGCTGCAATTATTATAATTTTTTTTGCCAGCCAGTTTTTACATTTAACAAAACATGGTCTAATGGCAACTTAGAATTTCCAAGTAACAGAAATCTGACTCGGAAATTTGGTGGTTCTTGACCAGCCCGACCGCAAAATCCAATATGGCTGCCCTAAGCTTGAGAAGCTGTGATAGCTGCAGTAATAACTTCTTATTGTCATGTCATTTCAATTATATCTCAGTAGTTTAGTCGCACACATCGTACTGTCCGACCTCTGTCAGCGAACATGTGTCTCGTGTGTTGCTAAACGTGTTAGCGTGCTGGCTGAACTCCTCCGTTAACAAATCTCTGGTTTTCTGTCTTGAAACTGGAACTGCTTTGAATCGGGTCTGATGTCATTCTTAGATTTGTGGTAAATGAAACACAGCCCCATTGCTTCAAATGTTTTGGAGTTTATTATTATCCTTGCAGACTTGCATCCATGTGCATAACTTTTGTTTTTGTTTGTTTATTGCGCCGTATGTCATCGTTGTTTATCTTCAGATGCCTGTTTCTGACAACCACCCTTTGTTTTTTATCTTCGCAGTTACAGGCCTCGGCGTTGGCATTGTGCTCTCCGTCCTGCTCTTCAAACGTAAGTAGAATAAAGGAAAAAACTTTTTTTTTTTGACTAATCGCGCCTTTTGAAGACAAGCAGAGGCGATCATTGTTTTTCCTCCACCAGGGCGAATGTGGCCTCTGTCGTTCGGGTCAGGCCTGGGTTTGGGAATGGGATACAGCAACTGCCAGCATGACTTCAGGTCTCCATATCTGATTCATGGCCGCATGGTTAAGGTGAGCACACGGTGCATTTTAGGACTTGAACACACATGGATATGTCATTCTAAGTGTTTTTTTTTTTTTCTCTTTTTGTAACCTTTCAGGACCAATAACGATGAAATAAAGGCAACAATGAATTCCTCATTTCTGTTTTTGTTCAATTTTTTGCTGCTTGTCTCTTTCCTGGCACCCAACAAATCCTAGAGTGTATATCAGAAAGCAATAAATGTATATTTATTAAAGCTCTTTTCTCTGTCTTTTTTTTATTATTCCTGTAGGAATGTTTGAGAGGAAAGAAATGTGTGTTTTTTGGAGGGGGTGGGAGGTAATTCTTTGTGTTAATGAGCTGGGAGACTCAGACTCCTGCTGTTTTGGAATGAAAACCAGGTCCAGCATCTGCAGACCTTCCAGAGAGTGGGAGTATGAACGGTTGTACTGAATGATGAAGTAAAGACGTGCAGTTGGGAGAAGAACAAAGCTGATTGTGACTGTGGCTTTCAAGAAAAAGAAATCCACCTCTGTTTCTGTTGGTAAATGTTGGTATGGCATGGAGTCGGACGGGTGGATTTCTGTAACGTAATGAGACAATCCACCCTGGTTGTTCTTTTATAGCAGATTAAACACATTACTGTTGTTCTGCAGATTGCAAGAGTTAAAAAGGTGCGTGACTTTAATCAACAGGATAAATCTGTCGAGCATAACTGATGGCTAATGTGTGGTTGCATGGGTCGACTGGAGTGGGGGGGACTGGTTTGTGTGAGATTGTTCACATCAGCCCCCCTGATGGAGCAGAATCTGTGGAATGCAGAGAGAAATACCGTTTCTGGACCCGAGCTCGGCCTTATTGCTAACAGGTGAGTTCTGTGGCTTTCACGTCTGAGCGTAACACATGTTGAACACTTTCACATCAAAGACGAAACATGGCTGCGTGCACCGCTTTCTATTACACAGACACTCACGCTTCTCTTTTCATCACGGCAACAGTTTAGTCGGTAATGTAAGCACGTAGCATTCCTGGGCGCAGTGGAGCCGAGCTCGTTCCAAAGTGTTCAAAGGCCCGTTTTCTTCAGCGACGGGTTCGGCCGCCGTGCAGCTGGCTCAGAGTAACCCTGTCAGGGATTAAGCCGTGTCACTCATCCCGTGTCCATTAAAATACCTGTTAGCAGGTGAAGTGTGAAGCTGATGGGGGTTTACATGGACCCAAGCCAGGATGAACACCTGTGGGCAAAGGTGCGGCGGTCAGGAAGAGGGCAGGGATGGGTTCCTGAAAAGGCTGAAGTCTCCATGATCAATCAAATCCTGCTCCTAAACTACATTTATGAGACGATCAGGGCTCCTACACAGAGTTTAATGTGATTTTTGTTGTTTTGTTTTAGTACATTCCAGATCTGGATAAGTATGGAAGGAGACAAAAACATCTCATTAGAAAACATTTGTGTTTTGTCTCTTTTTTTCCCCTGACTGCGTTTTAAAAAGTCGTATTTTGAGAAATTAGTAAAAGTTGTAGTCATTTTGGTCAAATATTGAAAAAAAAAAAAGGAGCAATCTCATGATATTATTAGATCTCCCACTCAGATTATATGTTGTGAGTGACTTTCAGCTCCAGCCACATCAGATTTAATCTGAATTCATGTCAAATTTAATGAATTCGAATCATTTTTGTGTTTCAGGTTGACTCTAAACATTAATCATTAGTGGAGATGCATGGAATGATTCTACACGTTTCATTAAAATCTGTCAAAAACTTCATGAGATATTTTGGTAACAGATATGAGCAAAAAAAATTCTGTCACCTTTCGATCTGAATTTCAACGAAAACTTTCAGTAACTCCCGGGGTCGGCACCTTGGCAGTGATGTGTGACACAAAAGACACCAAATCATTTTGTACAACAATCTAACAATGTTCAGTCAGGTCAACTGGATGGTTTCTTTTTTGTTTGTTTGTTTGTTTGTTTGTTTTGTTGAGATGTTTCATCTTTCATCCAAAGGATTTCATCAGTCCAAGGAGCCACAAACAAACTGAGTCCCACAAGCAGCACACTCATATAGTGGAAAAAAAAGTTTGCTGGTGATAACATGGTTTCTGGGGCCCGGCCTCTTCCCCATCAACTCTGAGGCAGCCATGATGAACAGGAGAAGGACTGATGAAGTCCTTTGGATGAAGGACGAATTGTCTCAGAAAAAAAAAAAAAAAAAAAAGAAACCGTCCAGATGACCTGACTGAACATTGTTGGATTTTTACCTGGATTATTGAACATGCACTTTGATGATTTGTACAACTATGTTTGAAAAGGAAGATTTCATTTATCACTTGTGTAAACAACCAGTCAAAAGTTAGCCCATAATAAATTTCTGTTATAGGTAACATAATTTCACAAAAAACCTTAAACCTGTAAATGTGTTAGCAAAATATAAAAGTTTTTGTGCATTTTGTCTATATTTATACACAGTCTGTATTTGGAGAATGCAGAAACAAAAATGTATAAGACCTGAAGAAAGGCTCAGAAAATGACTGCAAAGTCTGCGACTGAAATCTGAAAATGATGCAGAGCAGGAGGTTTTGTTTCAGGACACCAGTCACGAATGGAGGTTGAACAGATTCTCCCAACAAGAAAATAAAAAGGGGTTACTTTCAGTGTGAATAGACATTAAATAAGTAAAGCTGCACACATCTGGATGAGTCCAGCTTGGAGACAAGGTGACCCTGAACCTAACAGAGGTATGCAGCTCAGGTCCCGGTACTTTACCGTACTGTATATGTTTTATGGACAACCGGAGTGACGGCTTTCTTAACTTTAAATAAGCAACTTATCAAAGATGGCCTGAGAGTAGTTCAATAAGCTTCTGCTGTAGCATCAAACTTCACACTGATGTAAAAAAACAATAATATATTGAAAATAAAAACATTTACAGACATCAGCAGTGATTAAATCTTGTGATTTTTAATTAAAGTTAAAAAAAAAACTGAACCAAGATTAACCCTTTAGCATTAAAATAGTTTCTTATTTGTCCCTGCAGCTAAATGGCAAACAGTAATGTTTTTACTTGTGTTTGTGTGTCTGTTAGCAAAATATCTCATGAACCACTGAATGAATTTATTGAAACACTCAGAAACAAATTATTATCGGCGCATCTACAACTGATCCAACATGATTCAAGCTAAAAATGACCTTAAAAACACACACAAAATGTTTATAAGTCCATCAGTTATAAAGATATTAACCTAATATTTGGTAGCTGAGAGTGATCCCCAGTACATATTCTGAGCACTAACACATTGGACAAGAACTTTTTTTAAATTATGGCATCAACTATTTGGAGTCCAGTTTGTCAGCGAAACATCTCATGAACCAGTTCTAATGAAACCTTCATGAACCAATGGTTGATTAACTGTTAGCGACAACTCAATTCAAGATGGCCACTGAAGCCAGCTGACCTCAGAAAACACAGAAATGGGCGTAACTCGGTTAATTTCACTGATTAAAATAGTGGTTTGGAGTGGTAGAAGTTGTTCACAAAATATCCTCCAAATGCTGCTCAAAACTTTAGCACAGTTGTTCGAAGTTTACACTGTTTGTTAGCAAAATATCTTGTGAACCACAGAAAGTAATCCCTGGATGTAGATCATCCGATTAACTTTTGGAGCTGACGCTATTCAAGGCTGCCTCCACGGCTGATATCACACATAAAACTGTAAGTCAGTTGTTTAGATATTGAGCTAAAACTTGGTGTGGTAGTAGCTGAGAGTCGTCCAACCAGAACGACGTGAGATTATTTTATTTTAAAACGTTTGCATGACAGGTGGCATTTCCTGTAAGGAATCCTGGGCCTTCATTTCCGAGGTCAAGGGTCAAGGTTATTTATTGCCATTCGCATCACATGTAGTAAATGAGGTGGAATAAAATTGTGTGCTCAGGGTCCCAGTTACATCCAACAAAAGCAAAAATATAAATTGTAAAAAGAAACCGTAAATAAGGATCTAAGATATAAACTAAGAAATATGCTAGTCACTAATAGTGCAAAACAATACACCAAACAACAGCAGCACGAACACGAGTTTTTGTGGGTGGATGAGTATAATGGATGAATACAGCTGCATGAAATAATCAGCAGCATGAGATCAACAGCATGGATAATCAGCAGCACATATCATCAATCAAAGTTGCATTACAGTGATTTTTTTTTTTTCACAGTGATATTCCTGATTAGGGATTCATGAGTCTAACAGCCTCAGGGTAGAAGCTGCTCCTCAGTCTAGTGGTTCTACACTTAATGCTCCTCAACCTCCTGCCTGAGTGGAGCGGGGCAAAAAGTGTGTGTACTGGGTGAGTGGGGTCCTTCATGATGCAGGTGGCACTCTTCCTGCATCTGGAGGTGTAGATGTCTGTGATGGTGGGGGAGACTGACTGATTAGGCTGATCTTTTTTTCTTCGGTGTGTATCTTAATACTGCACTTTATTCATCGTTTGATAGTATTTTTTTACAGTCAGTGTTTATGACCCAGAAAAGATATATTGCTATATCTTTGTTGTCTTGATTTTCATTTTTATTCCAGCTGAAATCAGATTTGAAGGATTGGCTCTGCTTTCAGGTCAGCCAAAGCAGGGAGCGTGGCTTGTACTCCAAAAGCCTCAAATAAATCAATTTGTCATGAGCTTCTGTTTACTAACCACCTATTTAGGCAGTTTCAACATCTAAAAGCTTCTTCTTCTCAGTGTGCCAGTTGAGCACAAAACAGAGACTGCTTCACATCTGCTCTCCAGTCGTCCATCATGATTACAATGCGTTATTAATGCTCAATTATATATATATATATATATATATATATATAAGCACATGCTTACCAAAGCAATGCCAGGTGTGTGTGTATGTGTGTGTGTGTAATCTTGTGATGTTTGCATATTTGTAAACGTGCTCGCTCCGCTTCTTTAGAGAAATATTTGAACTCTTTCCAGCGGTTTCTCCTCCCATCTTCGCCCAGAGAGGTGCAGCAGCAGGACGCCTGACTGAGGGCTCGAACCGCGCCTGAGAGTTTTACAGCGAAAGACAACTCGGAGAAGTGTTCGTGAGTTAGAAGAGGGGGGCTTCAACACCGGAGGGGAAGAGAACAAGGGGGAGGGCCCCGGGTCAGAGCTGCTGATGCGGTCCGAGATGAGGTGCTGTTCGGCCTCATCCTTCTCTCCGCGCTCCGACGCACGGATGATGTAACGCATGACAGACTGAACTCGGATGATCGCGACGCGCACGATTTTATTTTACTTGTTAATTTATTGAACTACTCGCGGTGATACGGTTCCGTTCACTTCCTCGGGTTTTTTCTGGGTTTTCGGTGAGGCGGCTCGGCTCAGCGGGACGTCGCGCCGAGTTTAACCGGCTGTTCGTCAGCGATGATGGGCAGAGGTGAGTGCCTCAGCTGACCTCCACGACCTCTGCTGCTGGGTGTCATCACTCTAAGCAGCTTATTCGTTTGGAAATCAAATAAGTTGTTTGCTTGTTACGAAGAAGTTGCGGTGCATTTCTGTATTTGTTAGCTTGTTCCTTGAACCTTATATTTATTTAGAAAGTCGGAGCTTCTCCCTCTGTGTTTGATCTGAACTTGAGAAAATTATTTGGTAAAAAAAAACAAAAAACGCAAAAATAATATGTATGTGTATTTATAATGTTAATTAAAAAAAAGTAAAAAAGGCACAACATTTGTCATAACTTAGGAAATTTTTGCCTCTTTTGAACAGAGTTAAAAGTAAATTCATGCTAGCTAATAGTATTAGCCTTAGTTCGCCATTAGCCACCTTTAGCATACCGTTAGCTCTGTTCAAAATAAGCTCACATTGCCCAATTTTAATGTCCAGGGGTGGAAGCATAGGCCATGAATCTGAGAAACTGTGTCCAAAAATCATGTTAACGCTGTACAACAGAATCAAGAACATATTCAGTGTTGTTCGTTAAAAAATGAAGTAAATGTCATTGTCATTTCACCATTGTCATGGTCATGTTGCAGTTGTTGTTGTTATCCATTACTGTTTTTGTTGGTTTCTACGTTTTTGGTGTCCTGTTATGTAATCTGTTGCTGTGTGCTTGTTCTGTTTGTCCCTGTACAGCACTTTGGTGTGCTTTGTCACTGTTTAAAGTGCTATATAAATAAATTGGTATGGTATGGTATGGTCATAACGTGAATATTATATTATATTAAATGAAGCTAGTAGACAAATCGCTAACTATTTGCGTTCAACCCCCCCCAAAAAAAAAAAAAAAAAAAACTAAACTTGTTCAACTTAAATAATTTTATATGTATATGTATTTAATAAAAAAAGGAAGAAAATTTGTCATAACTTGGGAAATTTTTGCCTCTTTTGAACGGAGCTAAAAGTAAACTAATGCTAGCTAGCTAATATTATTAGCCTTAGCTCGCTAGTTAGCCACCATTAGCATACTGTTAGCTCTGTTCAAAATAAACTCACATTTCCCACTTTTAACTTCAGAGGTGGAAGCATAGGACACATGAATCTGAGAAACCATTTGTGTCACGTTAACTACACTTGTACAAGAGAATACATATTCAGTGTTCGTTAAAAATTGAAGTAAATATCATTGTCATAACTTATTATATTATTTTAGATGAAGTTATGAATAGTCAAATCGCTAGCTAGCTAAAAGTATTATAGCTAGCTAGTTCTGGACCTTTTTACAGGTATTAATGCGCATGCTCAAAATCAGCATATTTCAAAGTTTACTGGTATTATTAAGGTCATGTTGGTGTTATAAGGTCATTTATTCATGTCTGCTCTGTTCTTTGAAATCCATCCATCCATTTTCTTTACCCGCTTATTCCATTTTGGGTCACGGGGGTCGCTGGTGCCCATGTCCAGCAATCACTGTGCGAGGGGCGGGGTACACCCTGGACAGGTCACAAGTCCATCACAGGGACACATAGAGACAAACGAGCCAAACAACCATTCACTCTCTCACTCACACCTAGGGACAATTTAGAGTTACCAATCAGCCTAACATGCATGTTTTTGGTCTGTGGGAGGAAACCGGAGTACCCGGAGAAAACCCACGCATGCACGGAGAGAACATGCAAACTCCACCCAGAAAGACCCCTGGACCGGGGTTTGAACCAGGGACCTGCGCGCTGAGAGGCAGCAGCTCTACCAGTTGTGCCACCGTGCTGCCCACATAAAATATCAATTAAACTAATTCATAAATACGATTGTGCATAAAAATCAACAAAAAGCAGATGTTAAGACCCAAAAGATTTGATTTGAACGCTGACCTTGAATACCAGAAGTAGATATTAGTTTATGAGGCTGATTTTACACATACCAGTTAATGTCACTTTATCCCTGTTCAAATGAACAAATTTTTTATTTTTAGATTTGAATTATTTGTTTAGTAGAGCTGGAAGTAAAATTAAAACAAATTGTATGTTGACAAGTAAAATCTTTCAAAATCTTGTTCAGGTAATAATACACACACACACACACACACACACATTTATATATCAAGACTAAATTAGTTTTTCTACACAGTCAGTGTACATTAATAAACATTATTACAAATGTCCAGAATTAGCAATAAGGCAGTTTTTTTCTTTGTTGAGCATGCATAAATTTAAACGGCCCACTAAAAACAGGATTATATCCATCTTCTGTGCCTGCTTCTTCCTTTCCAGATTGATGGTGCCCAAGTCCAGCAGTCACTGTGCAAAGACAGGGTACACTTTGGACAGGTCATAAGTCCATCACATGGACACATACAAACAATATATTATTGGTTTGAAACTACTGGTGCATTATTGTGCTTACCACATAGATAATTTTTATTTAAAAATGTTTATTTAGTGTATCTGTCCTGTGCGAATTTTTGCTTGAAAGTTAGTTTTATAATCCAAAATAGCATTAATCATTTGAGCTTTTAAACTATCTTAATTTCTACAAGTAATCGTACTGAATGTTGGGTTGTTTGGAAGCAGTTATCCATTCTTTTTAGATGAGCAGGTGTGTTCAGACTTTTCACAAAAGTTTTGACGTTTGACACAAAGAAATAAGTAAAGTTTGCCTCTTGAGTTGTGGAAGAGAATCCTAAATTGGAGCAAAGAAAATAAATATAACTTATAAAGTACTTATAACAAACAGTTGGACTTAAATATTTAATAAATGGATTACTTTCTGCTCTCGGGTTTTATTCTGCCTGTCTTGGGTCTTTGTAGGTGTAGTGGGGGTGAACCTGCCTGTTTTATATTTCTTTCCTGATAATGAGTTTCCACTTTCCCACTCTGTTCCCCGGGGTGCTTTGTTTTTATGTTGCTTATGAAGAAACACCATTACCTGCCAAGGCTTTTTACTCTTCGTGAACAAAATCTATGTCTGGACTTTGGAAGTTTGTCAGAACAAAGAAAGAATAAGAGCATTTTATTAAAACAACTCCTTCTCCCCCTTCATAGCAGAACATCAAAGATCCCTTTTATGTTTTAAATCGAGGCAAATTATAGCTGAAGGCTTTTAAAAAATGTTTAAACAGTGTCAGTCAAAGCCAGATGGAAGCGCAAAAAAGTGTGTAAAACAGCAAATGTCAGTGACCACCAGGCACTTTTTATAAGCAGCAGGAGAGAATGATTTCGTTGGTCGTAAATGACGTTAGTGGTTGAGGCATTTTTAAAGAGAGGAGTAAAACAGTGAACAGCCAGGGTGATGAAGTCAGGAAGTATGAAGCACAGATTTGTCTTTCCACTTCACTGTATTGTCTCTGCAGGAAGAAGAAGAATGTTGATCCCAGAGCCAGATATAACAGATTGTGGCTTTTTCAATCATTCAAATCCGCCATCCCTGACAACTAGATAAAACCAGATGTATAGTCACCCAGAAGATGTCAATCCACGACAGCAGGAAAATACAAAGCTCAAAAACTGTATCTGACCAGCAGAAATCAGTCTTTCAAACTTATCAGAGCGGTAACATGCTGCATTTTGTTCCCCTCTTTTAGGTGCAGTCATGTGGCAGAAGGTTCAGATTTGCTGCGCGCTGTTTGCACTGTATTCAGCGGCACCGCCAGCGCACATCAACCGCCTGGCGCTGTTCCCTGACAAGAGCGCCTGGTGCGAAGCCAAGAACATCACACAGATTGTCGGGCACACAGGATGTCAGCCTCGCTCTATTCAAAACAGGTCAGGATGAAGGCTCTTACTGTCCTTCGCTCTGCCTGACAATCACTCTGAGCACAAACAATGAGTGATTCAGACATATCTAGCAGTAGTTTACCATCTCGTTTGCTTTATATGGCTTGTTGAGGTTAATTTAGACTCAGTTTCTGCAGCATATAAATCAACATTAACATGTGATCTATGATTGAAAGATAAATAATTAAAAGTACAGCTTGCAGAAAAGATATGAAAGTCTGACAGCTGATTTCTATACATACTATACTTTATTTAAATGTATGAAAACTTCATAACTGGAAAATAGCAATAAAGTAATCTTTAACATCTAGATATCTCAGAACAGCTAGAGCAACAAGCTCAGTAGTTCCTATATGAGACATCATCCTTTTAAAAAAACACTTATTTTAAAAAATAAATACATTTATGCTAAGTATTTTGCTCACTGGTTAATATTTGGACAAATTAAGTATGTTTGTTTTTTAAATACATCAGTTTGGACCATTTTTTGTTTTATTTTAGTATTTTTGCACACATTTTTTTTTTTTCATTCAACCTTTATTTAGACGGAGTCATTTACAAGAGAGACCTGATTATATCTGATTTTTTTTTTATTTAATTGTCTTTGAATTACGTGCCAAATCAGCCTGGTGTTACAAATGGAACTTTTTTCCCTAAAGACTTGTGCTTTTTCACAGCATGAATTAAAAATAACAAATGGAATAAGATTCATGAAATTATAGCAGATTTCTCTGGGATGGTGTCATTTTGCTGGTATCATAAAGCTGCATTAGAATGCTATAAATCTAAAATAGGTGCACCTTCAACTTTTACGTAATTTTTCTCTCCTACACGTAATTTCAGAAAAATCAAGAGACATAATAAGAATTATCTATAAATTATAAAGTTTTCTATCAGATAAAATAGCAAATGGATGTATTTTCAAACACGTTAGACTTTCGAAAGGACCACCATTTATGTGTACTGTATGTGCGTTTTTGTTTCAAGTTACCATGTAGAGACCAATTTTACAAAAAACCATGCATTGTGGGAACCAGCTGCTCTTTATGGAGACCAAAACCAGGTTCCCATAAGGAGAAGTCTCGTTGGGGGATTAGGGGTTAGATTTAGGAATAAGGTGTGAATTGTAGATGGGTTAGGCATGTACAAGTATGGTTAGGTTGAGGGTAAGGGTCAGGATTAGGCTATAGAAAATGAACGGAAGTCAATGCAAAGTCCCCAAAATATATGTTTATAAGAACGTGTGTGTGTGTGTGAGGGGTCCACATACAAGACTAAACTGCATGACGTGCTCGTGTGATCAAAACCCTGAATTCAAAATTACTAACAAGAATTTTTCACTTTCAAAATGTACTCAGATTAGTTTAATCTGTAATTGTGACCCACCTCTGCTCGTGCCTTCTTAAATCATTTCACATGACTTTTTAAGAAGTGGGGCCTTGCAGGGAAAAAGTTCAAAGTTAAACTGTTTAATATGATGATTCAATAATTTTAGGGAGGGAGACATATTTCAGATTTATTTGGAACTTTATTTTCACATTGGGAGATGATTTCCCAGTGTTTGTGATTAACAAGCCTCAGTTTTGTGTCCGTTCATTTAACATCCTCAGGGCGCTTTAATACGACCGTGCAGACAAAGCCAAACATGTCACGTCTGTAAATCACGCACCTTCTCTCTTCCTTACAGAGCTTGCCTGGGTCAGTGCTTCAGTTACAGCGTCCCGAACACGTTCCCACAGTCGACCGAGTCTCTGGCGCACTGTGACTCCTGCATGCCTGCCCAGACTCAGTGGGAAGTGGTAAGAGTTATTGCACATCAGCTCATGCCGCAAACACACACCAGTACTGACGTGTCAAACTCTCACACACACACACACACACAAACCACAGCTCAATAAATAAAATACGAGCAGCGTTTGCTGCTCACTACCAAAACAAAATAATTAGAAGAAGAAAAAGAAGACTAAACGATCCCTGTAGGTGGAATAGAAGCCAGCATTTTAAATTCTTTTTAAGTTCATTGTCTCCCTTGGCCAGAAGGAATTCGTTCTTCTGAAAACAAAGGCTTTGTGGGGAGGTGGATGTAGTTTGGAGAGCTGCCAGGTAGACGAGGTGGGTGGGAGCACAGGTGAGGTCATCTCATGTTTCAACAGAAAATATTGCATCTCTTTGAAGCGAATAGTTGTTACCAGATAGTCTGATTAATGTTCTTCCTCTTTCTGCTGCACTACAAAGGCAGGAGAAAGTGCTTTTACACTCTCGCTTTCCTCCTAATTATCTGGAAATGGCTGTTTTTGTCTGTGGATATGATTGTTGTTTCAGGACTTGAAACTAAATTCAGTTTGAAGCAAAACAGAGCCGGTTCTCACGAAAGAGGACACTGCTCCCAGTGCTTTGGCTCTTGATAAAATTGCTGAATGATCATTTTCAGTGGATAATGGAAACAGTGAGGGGTAAGTTGTGTGAGGTCTGCGGAGCTGTTTGAGCTCGTGTAATGCCAAACTCCACAGGAGGTGGTGGTGTTGGGGTTATTATATTCTTTCAGTTGGTTTTATATTAAATGTTTTCTGAGTATTCCTTTGTTCCCCTGAGTATCAGGCATTCATGCTTTAAACCAGGGCTGCATGATATTAGGAAACAGTGACAATAGTCCTGAGTTTTGTGATGACGATATCAGTTTTGATAAACCCACATGTTTCATGACATTACGGTCTACAACACTCTCCATGTGCCGGCTGTGGGGTCCATCTAATTGTCAAATTTGTATGTTTTACATGCAGTTTGTGTCAAGCAATCCCTCTTCTCCTTACAAGTGTCAAAGTAGGCTGTTTGTAGGCAAAAAGTAAACAAAGTTTGGGATTACTGATTATTGATTTGGGATTATTTTGGTTTTAAACCAAAGAGTTACTCAAAGCCTTTGACAAGAAATATGCCAGATCTGTGCAACCAGCTCTGGGCTGATATTGAGTGGCAGCTTTGAACAAACATATGGTAAACATCTAACATGTTGTCACAGCAAACAATATTTTTAAAGTTAAGGTACAATTTTGAAACAATTTATTTTCCTGACGAGCCACGATGCTTCATTGTTTTGGACTAAGCTTTCCGTCTGCAGGACATGGGAGGATGTTTCCACAGACAGCTTTCACTGATAACAGCAATATAAATATAACAAGTACGATGGTTTATTGTGTTGGATGAGTTTTGCTTAAGAACTGTTGAATTAATTGTAAAAGTGTTGGCGTGTCATGTCATGGAGTTTGTTAACTTCATCAGTCTGGGAGGAAAAGCTCCCAGAGCCACGGTGAGGCTTCATTTGTGACCCATCACATCAAACTGAAGATTAATTCTTAGATTTGGTCAGAATGAACAAAGCACATTTTCACATTTGTTTCTTTTTAAGATACATTCCTAAATCATCCTGATATTAGATATGGCTTGATTTATCTCGCTAATCTGGATAATCCCTGGAAAATCTGTATGAATCTTATGTTTTTTTTTCATATTCAAATAAGGATTTGTTGTGGAAGAAGCCTCAAACCATATTTGGATATCAGGATTTCCCAGCTGGAAGGAAAATAACTTTGCTAGAGCACAGTGACAACAATAAATATTTAAAGCTTTTCTGCTTCAAATCATCATTATTTATTTTGGTACTGCTCAGAAAAGTGCTTCATAATATTCTTAAGGATTCTATTCCAGACATTTCATTCAAGGGACCCATAGATTCATGATATTTTGACCAAATGAAATTATCGCAATTTTTTTTAACCAATAGCTTCCTTTAAACTCTTGAATGAAAAAATTATATTACCTAAAATAAAATGGAAATATATTTATATATATTCCTGATGGACTCCAGTATATTCACCCATTCATTCAAACAATACTAAATAATACTAAAGTTTCTGTATATTGTTCATTCCTACTATAAACTGTTTTTGTTAAAAAATACAACATTTAGAAAAAAAGTATGAAAAATATGCTCCAGTAGTAAAAAATGAACATGCTGATACATATAAAAAAAACATTTGTTGCATTGTGACCATACAGTTTCCTATAATCATTGGTGTGCATAGCTAACCAAAATGTTAGCTTTGCTAACTCTAAACCACTGAACAGATAAAAAAAATTAGCAGAAGCGCTAACTTCTATCATACACTGCTGTCGCTGACGCTGTAAGACCGTCTGTAATGTGACAACGTTGTAAGTGAACAACTCAAAACGGTTCATAAATCACAAGTAAAGCGTCCATGTTCCGTTCAGAGATGAGCTTTCAGAAATTAATCCGGTCCATCAAGACCATAGAAGTGGAGCAGAACTCTGCTGCGCTTAAGCAAAATGATGCATTCAATGTGTGTCGGACGTCTCCCTCATGTCATTTAATATAATAACTTTACTGATTTTAGTGCTCCTCTTTGTGGTAACTACTTTTATAAACCAACTACAAAGTTGCCATGTGTCATCATCAATATTATCACAGTAATCAAGCTGTTTGTGTTAAATATGTATGAAATGTGAAAGAGTCACGTCCCAGAGACAGTGTGAGGGTTGCAAAGCATGTTGGGTAGGAATTATGTGTGTAATGTTTCTGGCCGTTAACAATGTTTATGAGTGTAAAAATGTTATTTTTAAATGTTATTTTCCTGTTCTGGTTTGGCATTTATGTTGAAGTCTGTTATTGGCTGTAAAACTGACGCCATGAGTCAGAGACTGTTTGTGGTAGATATGAGGGGAAACAAAGAAGTGATGATGTCACCAGGTAGCGCTTAGCTTTGCTTAGCTCTGCATAGCATCGCTCCGTGTACATCACCATTCTCCTGTATGTTTATAATGTGGAGCACTGTCAGCAGACTTGAAGTTACCAGATTTAAATTTAGCAGACGCAAATTCCACTAAAGGTTTTCAAAGTTAGCGAAAACGCTAATCCGCTAAATAGAAATTAGTGCCATTATTAGCGGATTAGCAGAACTGTGCTCACCACTATCTATAATCTTAGGTTTGGTCAAAGATAAAGTAAATCAGATACAACATTTATCATTAGTAATGAACTTGGAGCGTGCGTGTATTTACGTGCTCGTGTGTGTTTGCGTTCCCATCCAGGTGACTCTGGAGTGCCCCGGCAGTGAGGAGTCCCCTCGGGTGGACAAGCTGGTGGAGCGGATCTTCCACTGCAGCTGCCAGTCGTGCAGTAAGGAAGGTGGCCCAGAGGTGATGCAGCTGTATCCTGCAGACAACAACCTGGATTCAGCTCCAGCTTCATCTGATTCTCTCAGCGGAGTCCAGTCTTTGCCCCACTCTGATACACACTCAAACACACACACCCAGCTGCACTCAGACCATCACACACTACCACACACATCAGATGGAGGGTAGGACCGTCACCTGCTTGCTAAATAATGTGACTCTGCTCATCTCTGCCACCCTCTCTCCTCCACGCTGCGTCTTCTGTACCAATCTGTAGGTTTGTAAAGGCACTTTGAATATAAAACTCCACTTTGTGTTAAAATAAATTAGGTCACACGTGTGGTCATGCTATCTGAATGCTCTTGATTCAAAATGAGCTCACACCAACACTGCAGGCTACGCATTTGTTTGCTAATTGTGTATTTGTGCATCCAGACATAAATATATCCTATTAATATATCGTAGGCCTTTAATCTGCTTTGAATGCAATAAATTCTGGTTTAATGGGAACTGTCTCCTGTGTTGTATTCATATCAAATCCTAGAATGGTTGTTTTTTTTATGCCATTCCTAAGAGTTTCCCACAACCTTTTTTTTTTTTTTTTTTTCAAAAACAAAGCTGTGTTTCTGTTTTGTTTGGAATATCTTCTTAACCCCTTTAATCAGCAAAACTCCAGTCGTGGATAAACAATTAATAGAGGCTGGTGCTTTTTAGTGGAGCTCAGAAGAGCTGCGTGGTGGGAGGAACCCATGCTGTTTGCTGCTTCGTTGTTCTGGATCTGATCTGTCTCCCACTAAGTTAAATTAAATGTTTTGAGGCCAAAAATAAAGTTGTACCCAGCTTTTTGTAGTTTTTTTTTTTTTTTTTTTGTGACTGCAGAACTCAAATTGCATTAGTTATTATTTGTTGTTATGCTAAAGTTGTTTCCTTTGTTGTTTTATTGTTGGGCTCATTCCATGATTACTGCGCACCGAACCAGCAATGTTTAATTCCCACAAGTGTTCAGTGGGCTTTAAGTTATGTGAGGCTCGGATTTTCTGCATGTTTTTGGCCTTTTGAGAGAGCAGGGGTGGGGGCCTATGCAGCAGAGGAGGACTTTGGTGCATCTAATGGAGCACTGTTCCTCATAAAGTATGACATCTCTCTGAACCACAGCATCTTCCAACTAATGAGAGTGATTTGAGCAGTAGATTTAAGATTAAACCTTCAACCCCCCAAAAAAAGACCAGATAGTAGCCTGTATCACTGCCTGTCCCACGCCTCACCAAGATCCCATTTTGTGTCTTATTTGTGAGTCAAGCACAGCTTTATTTATTGGTGGGAGTTTTTGCTCACCTGCCTTTCAAACTATTTAAAAAATATAGATTTGTATAATAAAGGAGTAGTTTTAATAGCTGTGTTTCATCCATCACTTTACAAAAACTAAATTTTCCCTTTTTATACAGATTATGAGTTAAAGTCATGCACAGTCTGATTCTACCAACTCCATAAAATGATTCAAACTAAATCTTTCTGCAACAAGTTATTTCAGTTATCTTTTTATACATCTCAACACAGTTTGCACACTGCAAATGCAAGACTTTTTTCACTTTACTAAGTTAAACTGCTATAATGAGTCAATTACTTGAGAAATGCCCAAATGTTTTCTAAAACAATAAAAGTTAGACTTTTGTTTTGTTTGATCAAAGCTTTTTTTTTTTTTCAGGAATTGAAATATTTTTATCCCCTGATTTGAGTAAAAACTGCATTTTTTTATTTAAGTGTCAGAATTCAAGTAGCTGCAGTTCTTTTTTTTTTAAATTAAATTCTGTCGTTCAACTATAATAATTTGCTGAGCTTGTTCAGTAATGGATGGAAGGATGGCTAGATAGATAGATAGATAGATAGATAGATAGATAGATAGATAGATAGATAGATAGATAGATAGATAGATAGATAGATAGATAGATAGATAGATAGATAGATAGATAGATAGATAGATAGATAGATAGATAGATAGATAGATAGATAGATAGATAGATAGATAGATAGATAGATAGAT